CAAGGGATTGTGTTGTGGATGTTGAAAGTTAAGCCTGATCAGCACAGGTCTGTCGAGTTGTTACAAACTGGCTGCCTTAGCTGGATCTACTTTGACATAAATATCATCTTTCATAAATGCATGGTCTTGGATACCATGGCAGAAAGAAGTATACAGATAAGGGAAAAATTCTTACAAAGAATAAAAAAAAAAGTGGATTCCTTATTAGCTGGAAAATGTATTCTGGGAAACAAGAAAAAAAATATCAGACAGGGAAATTGTATACTTAAGTGAGCTCAGCAGGAGTAAGAGTACTTAGGCAAATGAATTCAGTGTTAATGAAGGCAAATTTAACAAGCTCTGTTTCTTTGATTATTTTGCCTTATTCATGAAGACAAATTCAGAACCCTCAGAGGACTTGACGATAAGGAAATATAAGGTGATTTCATATTTCTGTATTGCTAATTAGTTCATCCACACACACAAATTAAGAGGCCATTAAACTGCCTGACAGTAACACGTAAGACACTGAAAGAGATAAGAAGTTGTAGTCCTATACATTAGAGGGTTAATGACACCGGATCTCATCGTTCCCATGCAGATCCTTGCAGCAGATGAGTGTAAGCTATGGGTGGCTCCCTCTCTAGGGCTTAAAGGAAGCCACACAGATTTTTTAAAAAAATCCATATTCCAAAGTAGAGGTATCATTTCTCAGTTGTGCTCTACTGACGAAAGAGTTGCTGGTAAAAGAGTCAGTTTAGCAGTTTGGCCCACAGGAATCTCCAACATGCTGTTGGTTGCTCCCAGTAGTGAAGAGACTGGTAAAAAACCCCTACCAGTCTTTTGTAGCAGCCACAAGCATACTGCAGCCAGAGGCATCCACATTCACACTACCAAGTTGTTTCACTTGCTTTGCTCCTTCAGCTTAACATCAGCTCTACTTGAGGTTCCAAAAGCAGTTCAGGGAGATATTACGACCCCTCTCCACCAGTAAAATATATTAGAGGATGCCTGGGGCACTGGATCAAATGGAACCCCACATCTTTAACAGAGCACAGCAAAACAGCTAGGGACAAGTCTTGCCCTGAGCATCTTTGTTAACATTCAGCCAGTTCCAAACTGATATACTTGATTTTGCATTCGTTTCTGCTGCACATTTAACAATACTGGTTCATTCTTGACTTGAACAGTTGTTATTTCAGACATCCTTTAAAAGCATCTCACACATCTGCCAAGGAGGGCAGTGCTGGGTACGTTCCTATTTTACTTTTCTTATTTGCTTGCTTCTTTTTACCACACTGAAGAAAAATGAACTGGATGAGCTATAACATGCACTTAACCAACCCAATGCTCTTCCTCTCATAAGTTTTGTGTGCGTTAAGAGTTTTTCCTCCGTTAAATATTGTCAGCATATTCCACATTTTTTATTCTATTACAGAAAAGTCTGAGGTTTTTCCTACCTTTAGAAGTCCAGGAAGAAATCTCTTGCATCCTATCACATATTCCACTTTTGCTACACCTATGAAGAATATATTCTGTTTTTTGTGGGGTTCCATTTTCACCTGATATGAGCATTCTTATTAATCTTTGTAGTGTCATTATCTTCTAAAAAGTCTGAGGAGAGCAACTGGCTCTCATTTAAAAAGTTTACATGGAGTCACGTAGACTGTCTCGATTATCTGGTTTGACTTCCTGTAGAATATACATCAGAGCATTACACCCACATATTTTTAAAAGGCCATTCAGCTCTGATTTAAAGATTACAGACAAGAGTTTTGGACAGAAGAATCCCAGGCTGTAGCCAAGGACACAGTCTGGGTTGGCTACGTGGAAAGTCTTGGTGTAAGAAAGATGAAGAAGTCCTGTTCCACTTGAATTGAAAGCTGCAATCATCTTCAAAATCAATTAAGAAAGTCTTTCCTAAATGTTTATCTTGCTCCCTTTCCAAGGCAATTTGAAAGACAAAACAGCACACTCTGCATATGCCTAATCAACTTTTAGTGTTTCCACATCCTGCAACTTGTCAAAATGTAAACAGCTAACCATTTTTAATATAGAAATTAATTAACTGTGTCACATTACTAAGTCCTACATGTTAAAAAGACAAAAAAATCCAAGGTGATTAAAAACATCCTTAGGAATAGAACTGAATAGATGCTCTTGTTCTTTGTGTTTCTCAGTGTGGGTGTCTTGGCTATTTGCAGATCGAGATACAGATCTGTGAGCAGCAGCCTGGACTTCCATGCCCCAACTTGTTCAGGGAGAAACAGGCTCATTTGGAGCTTCTGATTTGACTAAATTACGTTAAATCAACATCACAATGAGGTAAATAAGGGAAGCAAAATCAGTGAGATACTCAGAAATACTCTACCCAACACTATTAGCAAAGTTTTATTCCATATAATCTGCATCAAGAGTCACCAGTGCAGTTGTGAATATTGAATTTAGATGCTTTATTCTTCAGAGCTTGGCAGAAGAAAAAAACATTACCACCGTGCTTTGAGAGCATGCAAATATTTTTTTGGAGTAATCTTGCTTAAAAATTACCATCACTAGGACCAAGGCACAGCACTTCTAGTGTTCTCTGATTCAGAGGATTGTAAATTGACATTTTCAATGTGCAAGCAGAAATCAGTCATGACTGTGTAATAAATTCCGCATAGCCAAAGATGATGGTAATAGAGACTATTTCAGATTTTGTTTTTATTTTTTAAAATAGTTGCAAATATAAAAATGACTGAACTACACATAGAATGTGTGAAGACCCACAAAGCTTTTAGGAACAAAGGTGGATGCAGCTTGCTTAGGGTCTGTAGTATGAAATAAACACACATCATCTTTATCCTCAAGTGATCATATCCTTTACTGAAGTTCCATAATACTGAGCTAATTAAAGCTCAAACCTTAATTAGGGTAAAGAAAACTTATGCCCTTTATGATTTGAAATGAAAAGGAATTTAATTGCTATCATCTGCAATGCTATTTTTCATATTGGCTCTAATGATCATTGTGTAACGGTGCATGTGTTTTCATAATATAAATAATTCAACCATTCAACTTCAATTTTTTAAAATGGAACACGGACAATTTCACTTGCTGAACTAACGACCTGCAGAATTTCAGATATTATTAGATATGAAGATGGCAGACCAATGCTCAAACTACATTTTCCATATAGGTCTGTAGGATAAGCTTTCAGTCTAGTAGAGCAGTAGTTATTCTAGTAAACATCTCTGCCCAATTTGATATGCATCTTTTGTTATCTTATTCTTATTGCTAATGCTAGTCTTTCTACAGTGAACAGTAGCTTCCAACTACTCAAGCAACATCCTAAAAAAAAACCCATTGAAAAGACTTTACATCTCTTTCTTACAAAAACATGCAATAATCCAAAGCAGTATTTTGTGATATGCTCGAAAGGTCAACATTTCCAAAAGAATTAACAAATAGTAACACTTTCAGTTCTGGTGTGCTAATTTTTCGATCCTGTAGAGAGGTTTTTGGAGAATGAGTTCTTGGACTAAGTAAGCCATCATTCAGACATGGGATGTCCACTGATGCACATCACTGACAAACTTCTCTGGAGACACAAATCCACCCCTTACTCTAGGGAACATGGTAATTGAACAAATACTGAAAACTGGCATAATTCTAGCAAACTCTGTCTCTTTCACTGCTTTACTGCAAGGTAAGAAGCTTTAAAAATTACTCTAATCCTAAACTCCACTTTATGATGACAGGAAGGAGATTCTTCTCAAAGTATAGCTTTGTATCATCTCTTCTTTTCTTCTGCCCTTTCTCCCCCACCTTTGCCTCCTCACCCTACCAGAGAGAAACACCAGGTCTGAAGGTTGAAGGCTTGAAGCAGGTGAAGCTCCTACTGGAGTGTGGTTCAAGAGTTCAATGAAAAGAGTGAGCTCACCAAGCTGTGCTTCATCCTTTCTCCTCCTCTCTTACAGCAACACAGAAATAAACCAGGAAAAGCATCTTATTTCTGCTTCGCTCTTTCCCTGAATGACTGTGAACTCCCAGTGTAGCACCAACAACCTGGGCCTTTCTTTAAGAAGCCAGAAACTTCCAGGTGGGCACGGACAGCAATATGAGCTGTTGCCCTTTGTGCAGAAGGCCTAAATATCTGCACAGTACATGCAGCAATCGATATGAAATCATGTCTTTCTCCTCTCAGAAAATAAGTGATACTAGCTGAGTCATACTCACACATGTAGTAAGAATACTTTAGAAAAAAGAAATCAAGCAAACAAGCTTGACAAAAAACCCTAAAATAAACCAAACAACAACAACAAAAATGAACACCTTACCAGAGTTACCCTGAAACAAGACTTTCAAGTCTTCAATATTTTCTCATGTTTTACCAAGGTATCAGCTAAACCTGTTTCTTTCAGTAAAATGGCACAGATACCAAACCAAGAAAGGATCTGATGTGACTCATGCAGAAAGGGCTTTTTTCTTTTTTTAAGTAAACTCAATGAGAGCACACTTCAAGAGTTAACAATGTAATAGAGAGGAAGGAGCTCTGAGGTTAAGGTTAAGGGCAGTATCACAAGGATAACAGACTGAAAACAGTAAAAGAAAAACGTTAAGGCTGACACTAGGAAAACATTTATTATCATAAGAATGATTAGATAATGGAATAATTTCCCAAAGGAAGTTGTTGAGTCAACCACTAGAGGCATTCAAAGGAAACCTAGATAAAAACACCGGGCGATTGATCTGGAGGGCAGTCCTGCACTAATGACCCAAGAGGCTCTTTCCAACTCACTGAGGATTCTCCTCTTGAAAACAACCATTCTGAACTTTATAGAGAAACATGTGAACTACAGTAAATGAAAAACATTGCAAAACCTTGTTTTCATTGTAACAGATTTTTTCCTCTGTAGTACCAAGGATCTGTTTCTATATATGCATTCATTACTTCTATAAAATTCTAACACATAGTGATCAGCACAGTAACATTGAGAAGATATATTTGCCAAAGACATTACAGGAGCTATACAACTTGCCTTATGAAACACAATGGACATCATGAAGAAATCCAGCAAGAAATTTTCTGAAATGTCTCTGTAGTCAAATCGGAAGAAGATTACAGTAAAGCTCAAAGTAACAAATTGATTAATAGGATTACAGAAGGAGGAGCGGAGGAGTTTCATCCCAGCAACTGTTATCAGGATAATGTCACAGCTGTAAGAAAAGCAGAGAGAAAAACCTAATCAAGTCATAAGCCCATAAATTATTAAGCTCTAAAATACAAATATCTGTATCAGATGTATTTTAGATTGCTCTGTGAATCTAAATCTACACAACTTCTTTATTAAGACCATAGCATTAATATCAGAAATCATCACATTCATTTTACCTACATGCAACTTTGTGTTTTTCCCATATCATTATCACACACTTGTATGCTGTAATAAAGAACAAACATTGTACTAAAAAGAGTAGTACTGACTACTAAAACCCAAGAATCTTGAACAGACACTTTTATATACCTATTAAAATAAAATGTAAATTTGGGAAATATCCTGGCATTTTCATTAATAGTTTAATGTAATTTGAAAAAAAAAAAAAAACAAACCTTGAACTCCCTTTTTTTTCTTTTACAAGAAATTTCACTTGATTACAGAATTTATAAGTTTACTCCTAATCTCATTACGCATTGCCAAAACTCTGGATAGAAACACACATAGATGTGAAGTGCTTGAAATTATCATTGTTCTTGATTGGAAGGTTGAGTACTCTCTACAGTAATTCATCAGATGAAAAGAAATCATGTTGCACCTACGTCTTGTAAAATGCAGGAACTTCAATCTATAATGAGTGACAAAATAGGCCAGGCATTTGCAAAGCACGTGGAAGGTTCTCCTTCATCTTGCTGCGAACCAGGAGAATACCTGTTGCCATGACTGATACTTGACAGGTCAGAAAGCTCTAAATAGGTTTTCATCATTCTAGCAAGGTTCATAAGCCTGTACTTTTCTAGGCTGATTTTACTTTATGTGGCATTTATTCATTATTGTCTATCTCCCATAATGCAGATGCAACTTTATTTAAGTGCAGGTCATTCTAAAGGATCACTGGGACCTCATTGTTGGAATGAAATGCCAAGCTTACCTCGTCAAAGCTGTTCTTTTCAATTTGCCCCAGATTTCTGAATGGAAAACCTAGTGACTACGCTAAATAGATTTTGAAGTCACTAGAAGCTATCCTGTATGAACCAGTTGGTTCTCTCATTCTTCAGAAAGAAGAAAATTTTTGCAACATGGAGGAATTTTCACATGGAAACTCACAGATCATAGAGCCAAAAGGAAGACTTTTTCTCACTGTATCTGTTAATACACAGAAAATGTCACAAAAAAATGACACGCTATAAAATAATGCCCTCAGAGGTAACAGAAAATGATTTGCTCATTATCCCTCTTCTTTAAAAATATTACCACACAAGATGCTTTTCCTGGGGCTTTAACTCCCACCAGGAAGAAAGTAAGAGAGCATGAGAAGGGGGGTTCACTTCTGACACCTCTGTGGCAGGTAACAGGGGTAGGCATTTCAGCCTCTCAGCATGGGTCCCACTGTAACCAGCACGTCAGGGTCTGGAAAGCTCAAACAAACTCCTGGCTATGAAGGAGTTGTTCTGCCTCCTCTAGAAGAAAACTGTTTCAGTTATTTAAACCACAAAGCAAGACGAAGCTTCTTTAAAAACATATTTGATTTGAGATAAATGCCAACATCAAATCACGCAAAATGTACCACCTTACACACTTTTGGACAGAGTGGGAAAATGTCTTCCCTTCTCTACGGTATGATGAGATCTGATCCTAGGGTAGTCAATAATAAGGAATGCTCCAACAACAGAAATCAGGTATTTATGCATTAAAGCACAGAAAGTACAACCCTCAGTAACACTGTATATGGAAGTAGCAAGGAGAATCCAGGATCCCTCATGGGCTTATAGAGTTAAGAAGGAGGTAGGATCTGAAGATGAATGCTTTGTGTGTGGCATTTAGATGGCAACTGTTGGGAAAACATATCCAAGAGGAGTGCCAGAGGAGAAGGGATGCTGGGGGCTTTGTGGACAGACCACAGTTACAAGAAAAAGGAGAAAGGAGAAAACACAGGTTTTAAATCCAAGGTGATCACACAGACACAAGGGGGATGGGGAAGGAAAGGACTGCCATGGTATTTCCCCACAGGCCAAACAATCAGAGGCAGACAAATGTAATTACTTTCTTTAATCTCAAGACTTCTGGGGATCTGACTCATTCCTTCTGAACACTTGAGGGAGGTGATACTTAAAGTGCAATCTAGCTTGGAGGAAAGACTGCGTAAAAATAGCACCTTCCTAACCCCTACGTATTTGCTCCGTGCATGTATTCAGTCACGTCTACTAACTAGTAACAAATGACATTTTAATTACTTTTAATTCTCCCAGCCTTGCAGACCTACATAGAGGGATGAGTGTGGACTCTGTTTCACCCTGGACAAAACACCTAAACTCTTGAAGCACCTTGGCCATGTCATCTTCCAAGTGCCTGGGGGGGAAAAAGGTCAGTGGGGGATAGCCTCAAGAGAGGCTATCAATGAGTGACTGGTGAGAGTCTCTCTGGAAAAGCAGTTGTCTGGGAGAAATATGCAGAAAATTTGACTAATGCCCTAGTCCAACTTTCAGGCCCTAAAAGGGGGGGGCACCTTTTCCTTATAGTTCTGTAGTTCCTAAAGTTCCTATTGCTCCTCAAGAGAGATGAATAATTACATCAACATGCAATTTTTCCATCAAAGTTTGTTTATCTAATATTTAAAATTAAGAATCTGTATTACTATGAACACTGAGGAACTGTCCCCCTACGCCTCCTAGCAGTTTTTCCTGCTACTGGAACATTCCAAGGCTGTTTCTTTGTTTTATCATCTGCATCACTGTCATTCTGATAAAAAGACTGCAGAAACTCTGCTCACTGGGGATACTGCAGTCACTAAGCCTGCTGTATATCTGCAGTAGGCAAGTCGCTGACTAAAATACTTACCATAAAAGGCTGTCTGCAAGGATCATACTGTGAGACCATGGATCAGCATCACCAGTTCTGCTTAATATCTGAGACATCAGACTTCATCAAAACTTGTATGCTTACCTTTCTCAAACACTCAATGCAGGACTACCCACTATTCTACACTGTTTAATATTTTATTCGGTCTTGCCTTAAAAGACTTTCGTGGTGAAGCTTCTGATAACTCCTTTGGGAAACTACAGCACAGTGTTAAAAATCCTCAGATAGGAAATGTTTCCTGATATCCAGCCTAGATTTCTCATTATCATCTGATTAATTCCAGTTACCCCACTGAGTTTATGCCCATCAAACACCTGCAGCCTGGTATAGTGTGTCTTGCTTTTAATTGACATTTAGACGTTTCATATGTATCTATATATAGCTCTTTAATCTTTTAATTTCACTGTCTCTCACTGGAGTCATGTCTGAGCATGTGCTAAGGTAGTTTTGCTTTTTTCTTGCAGCAAAGCCAGTTATTATTGTATACTGAGCTAATACGCATGAAAGCAAACTGCGACGAGATTACAGGCTTATTTAAAAACAAATTCCATTTCTCAATCCTCAGTCTAAAACCAAATATTCTACTAATCACATGCCTTGAGTTATAATCTACTTACTGTGTACCAAGCTTCTTGTATTTACTAATTGAGAAAGCATCAATCGTGAGTGCATTCAGTATTATAGCTGGATATAAAATGTATTTCTCAAAGCACTGTAGCCACACATAGAGCCTTTCAAACCACATCAGATGAGCAGCATCTGAAACAGAAATTCAGATTACAAATCATGTCATCAAATTATGAGCATTTTTTGCACTGCAGCACCATAGAAGACATGAGTTAGCTCATATTAAATTAATATATTAAATAAACTAACTCATGGAACAATGGAATTCATAATTCTTTTGCAATAGATAAATCATTTTGTTCTCTGAATTTAGAGAGTATCTGGTTTGCTATTTATAACTGCACTCAATGGGAAACATTCAGAAGTGATATAAGATAGTACATGCTAGATGGCAGTTTCTACATAATCCAATTACTTAGTCACTACATTAAATAATACTTTTAGTGATGTAATGACCCTAGAGAGGCCATCTCCAGCTCTGGCACTGACCTGGTCAATGACCTAAGGAACCCCATTTGACCTCTGTGCCTCTCCTTCTCCATCTTATAGTGGCCAAACACTGTTCATTAGACTGTAAAGTATCATTGACCTCAAAAATGAAACACCCCTTGAGATCTAAAGACTGAAGAATTATCAGGAGCTGGAAACTGTCAGAGATATTTCCCAAAACACTTAAACAGCCACCATAAAAAGTTTCTGCCAAGACTACATCATTCCCCAGGAAAGAATAACTTTTCCTGCAGTAAAATTGTCTAACAGTACCAAAGTTCTAATGAGTATTAGACAAGAACTGAATGCTCCATGCAATTCAACTGCTATGAGAACTTGGGTGAACTGAGTGCAGAAGCACCTGTGTACAGACAAAAATAACGTCTTTACCCTCACGTGAGCTCAGCTAGACAAGGTTATTGGAAAAACAGTGAATTCAGAAAGGCAGAACTCGCTATTGACTCAGAGATAATGTCAGCTACTGAATCTCCAATAATCTTCCCTGCAGAAATGAAAACAATTATGTATACACATCCCACTCTCCCATACACACCTTCTCAACAACAGGCAAAGAAAACATGCTGAATCAACAGATTTCTGTGTTCTGTAGGCACAGTTGTATATTGGATAGCCTCTAAAAGAAAGATCTAAAAACAGTTCTTCCAAATTATCTTAAAGTCATGCTTTGCCAATAACTTAAGCTTAAGGTAGTGTTCTTGCAAAAATCTTCCTTCTGAAAATATGTTTCTTTCTATAACATAAAAATATTATGTCCTCTTACGACCTAAAGACCACCTTCTAAAAGTTCCTACACACAGAAAAATGTCCATTTTGGAACCCAGCAGTTCTCATCCATTCCTCTCTCCTCCTTCTGAACTACAAATTGTTCTCTGAGTTTCACTGACAAACTTCATCCATGTCCAAAGCTGAGCTCTGTGTAAGAACTCAAGCTCCAGTAAAGAGATATGCATATCAAATAGAAGGTAGCTGCAGGAACAGAGAGAGATCTGTGCAGATGATGCAGATAGAAAAAAAAGAGCTCACATTTAGAAGGACCCCAGGGAAGGACGTGGCTGATTTGAAAATGGCTTACAGGAATCTGTGTGGTATAAAATCAGTAGTGGCAAGGAAGGAGAATAAAAAATAGCTTAGTGTATCAGGGTTTCTTCCTCACTTAGTCCTGCACTAGTTTCTACACATCTATTATACCATAAGCTCATACATCTTGAATTCCGCCTTTCTTCCTGCAGCCAGGCAAAACAATGACAAGTAAAAAATGAGTTATCTCACACGAGCATCATGAGAACTGGTCTGATAATTGCTATTCTATGGATTATCTGAAAGTCTGAGCAGCTCATCAGGAGACTATGATAAACAAAGCCAGGAATAAACTTGTGGAACTGTCATTACCAGTTGCCTGTCTAATTGGAAGCAGTAATTTGTGTCTCCCATAGCACTACCCTTATCAAAAAAATAGAAAGCTGAAAAATTAAATTCTATGCAGTAAAAACTCCTCACAGACATCCAGTTTTGTGTACCTGTCCTTTCACTGTCCACTCCTGACCACTATGGGATACTACTATCCTTTTTCCAAGCTTCTCTTTCTATACAAATAAGGAACATTTAAGTTCAGTTCCTACATTTTTATTACAGGGTAAAAGAAATAAGGCAGCCTGTCAGACATATCTATCAAAGGGATTACCTTTTTCTCAGCCTGTCTCATCTCAGAACATGATAAAAAACCACTGCACCTCTGCAGCAGCCTACAGGACTGAAATATATATATGTATTTTACTCTTGTTTTCTAATACACAACACCAGATACACTGTAATAATTCTTAAATCCCCAAAGTGCAGGAATGAACCACATATAAATGAGGACTGCAAAAGAAGGAAAAAAGCCTGCTGCCCACAGCAGATAGCATGAGAAATGCAGTTAGATCTCAAAACAGAAGGAAACCCATCTGTGGAGATCAGTCCCGCAGGTCTCTACCTTCAACCTTTTCAAAAGCTGAGTCACCGCGTTTAGGAAAACAATGTTTTCTGACAAATGAAGACAGACTTAATCAGGACAAGGCAAAGAAATCCTACAGTGTTCTTTTATGATTAAGTGATGAAACAAACCATAAAACTTGGGTATTTATCAGAATTGCTGGCTATCATGGACAGGAAGTCCAGAACATTGCTTTCAGTTGGGCATGATGCTTAAAAAGATTTATATTTCTATTACACTTTCCTAGGCGTATTGGAGGAAAAGTTAAAAGGCAATCTTCAATCAAGTCTCTTGGGTACTTTTTTCATACCCAATCCTTGTTTGGAAAGGAATCACTCTGAAATACATGATTTTTTAAAATAAGAAAGATTTTAATCCTTATTGTATGGTTTTGCAGAGAGAGTGATTTGAACTCTTTTGTTGTCTAGTTGAAGAACAGACTACAGCCCCTCAGCAGGCTGTGTTCTGACAATGCTGTCTTCAAACACTTCAGGAACATATATTGAGAATTATTAAGGCATGGGATCCATCAAGAAATGACAAGCAAGCTTTTGGCTGGTAGCAAAGGCAACATGAGAGCTGAGGCAGAGAGGGGAAGCTGTGCTTCTCAAAGCACACTGCCTGCTTGCAGAAATAACTGCATCAGAACAGGAAATCCGGTCTCAATGTCCTAAAATATTGACTGATACTTGCATGTATCAGGGCACTACCCACTGAAGCTAGCAGACAATAGCAAGAACAAATTTTAAAGAAAATGTCACAGTTCCTTTCAGCTTTAATGTTTCTCTAAAAGTGTTATAATTGGAAATAGAACTCTAAGCTGCACTACCCTTGCTGCTATGTCAGAAAGTAGAAAAAAAATCTGCCTCATTCTCGTCAATCTTTTATGTTTTTAAACTACACAAAATGCCAAGGGATAAACGGTAACATATTAAGCAACACAGCAAGTAACAGTACTGCAATGCAAAAACAAAAGGCAGATCAGACAGTGGCTCATGAAAGATCACAAAGGGCTGGTAAAATGATTAAGGGACAGGAGCATTTGACATAAAAGGAGAGCTGGGATTGCTTAGCCTGGAGAAGAAAAGCATCAGGGAGCGTATTATTAATGTCTGATGGGGCATTAAAACAAAAAACATCCACAACTAAAAAAAAAAACCTGCAAGTCAAAGCAACCTTCCTTAGTGTAAGGATGATTGAATGCTATTACAGGTTGTCCAGAAAGGTTGTGGAGTCTCCATGCTTGAAAATATTAAAAAGTGGACACATCCCTGAGCAACCTGCTCTAGCTGACCCTGCTTTGAGCAGGGGCGTTGGACTAGACAGTCTCCAGAGATGCCTGCCCAACCCCAGCCCTTCTGTACAGTGGTCTCAGAACACAACTCCTACAGGTTCACAGACCTCTTGGCGACTGAGTGAAAAAAATGAAAATGATTGGCTATGTAAGTTATTTAAAAGTAAAAGCAAAATTTATTCTGCCTGCTTTTTTCCTTCTAGATGTTTTGGTTTTTTTTCTGCAAACCAAGACAATCTGAAAGTCATTGCACTGTTCTTTAGAAAAGGCTTTATTACAAACCTCTCACTTCCCGCTGCTGGTGTTCTTTGCTTTTAAGTATGGGATGGGAGATCCACAGCCAGGGGTGATGCTTGCGAAGCTGAGGAAGTAGGTAATGTGTTACAAATCCCACAGTCCATGCTAAAGCAAACAGGACAATGCTGAGAAACGGCTGGGTCAAAGCAGAAAAAAATGAAACCTGGTTATAATTTGCAAACAACATTTTTATATATATTTTTTTTTTAATTTTTTAACAGTTTCTATGATTGTATTTTTGTACACTTAGTGTTTATTCCTATGTTCAAATTCTGACTTCACAGGTGAATATGGATTTTTACAGATGTGTTTTGCACACACAGTTAACCTATTTTTTCCTCCATGACTGAAGGAAAAAAGGCAAAAGATCAGGCTTGTTCATTCTGTCCCCTGGGTTCCATATCTTAAGAACTTGGGCATGCAGAGGAAAGAGACATAAAGTAAGTAATACTGAAATTAATACAGATATTCATAAACTAACAGCCTTGCATATATAATAATGTTATAATGCCCAGTAAATACATTTTCACTAACTTCTCTTCCCACAAGCTCTATTCTTTCCAGTTGAAGCACCCTGTGATTTTGCATTAAAAAAAAAGATAATATCTTAAGGGGGAAAAAAAAAAAGATACACACCCTTAATGATAGAAACACAGTACTGGCACTGACAGCAAATGACAGAACAGCAGCTGCTGTGCAAACAATGAGATCCGATTTCAAGATTTCTTTCTGTGAAAATAATTATTTTATACAAAATTAGTAAGCCAATATTATTTTAACCAAAGTAAATTACTCTGTTCTCGATTACTTACACTCTACATTGTCATAAAGCTAATCAGCACTCCCTAATACAAAAGTATTTTCTCCACTCTGCTTTGGAAAATTATTTCTTCACACTCAAGGTTTGTTGAAGTAATCACATTTTAATTCTTCATGCCTGATTTTAGATTATATTTTTAAATAACAAAGTTATTTGGAGAATATGGAGAAATGAAAGCAATACATTTCAATACTGACTCTGCTTCAGGACTTTTTTAAATTTGGAAATGAAAATTCTGGTTCCATCTCCTATTTGCAAGTATTAAGATTCCTTCAAATTTCCTTTCTCTTCCATTTCCAAAATGAGTCATGCTTTTCTGTAATGTCTTCCAAGACACAATGTTAATACATTTACTATGTTCTAAACTGACATGTCCCATTCTCTGATTTTCTGTATTGAAAGTCAAATTTCAGGAAGATTTTATGGATTTTAGACAAGGCCTTTTTCTAGTGCCAGTGAATGATAATGAAAGGACACATCTGCCTTTATGTAAAGATCTATAACTAGGGTAGGAGTAATCTTGTTTCTAAAGATTGGAAAATATCACTGTCGTTACAGCCCATTTTTCTTGTGATTAAAATGTCATTCTCAGTAAACAAATAAACAAGATAGCTTGCGATCTGTGCGGTCTTCTGAATTGTACTTCAGAGGTCACCTAAATGTTTTTGTGAGTAAATGAAAATCTTGTCTTAGATTTATGAGAAGGGCATTTAGGTTCAGAACTCAATACTGCTGCTACGTTACAAAATGAGTAACAATCTGTAGCTCTTGGTTTAGAAACTGACTTATGCTTTAATTCAAAGACATCTAGAAAGAACACGTGAAAAGCAACAGTTTTGCTAGAATTAGAAGCTCATCTGATTTCCTGGTACTGCAATCTAGGTAGGCTTCATGTATCTCATCAGAGAAAAAGAAAGAAATCTAAAATAGCGATAGAAGGCAAATCTATGAATAAGGGAGATAAAAAGAAAGCAGGCAGAACAAGTGAACAACAGACGGGTTGTGAATTACAGGGGAAGCTGGTAGCAACCACTATATTTAGGCTGCCTATCACTCCCTGTTATGAAAGAGTCTTCTTAGTAAAAGGTCACCAGCATCAGCACTTCCACTTACTGCAGCAGCCCTTTGAAATGCAGCGGGACTAAAAAGCCTTCAGGCTCAAGAAGTACTTTCGCTTTGTCCCAGGTTTAGCTGAAATCTCAAGCCACCACCACTGTCCTTCGCCTTCCCAGGCTCCTCAGGAGTACGTACGCAACTCTAAAAGAAAAGCGCTCCCTCTGCTCTCAGAGCTTTGCCTTCTCCAGACAGCCCTGTACTCTGCACAGACTACATACCGTAGTCCATGAGGAACGTGTAGGAGCAGAGTCTTTGTAACTCTTCCTGACCATCTTTTCAAAACCTAGCCCTGCTAGCCTTGCTCCTTGCTTCTTGGATGTCACACTCAACAGCAAAACCACAACACAAGGGAGCTCACAGGAAAAGCCTTCTCTTCCCTGAAAAAACTGTGATCCTTGCCTGTACCCACAATTCCTCTCCATTCAGTTAAAATCTTCTCTCACCAGCAAGCTGTGCCTCCATCTCTAACTCAAATGGTTTTAGTATGTGGAGCACTACTGAAAAAACATGGTCTGATAAAAGTGAATAAGGAAATTATTACCCATGGAAGTTATTTTTTTAACCTTTCCAGATATTTTTAAAGATTATTGCAGATACTTAGCTTGTAAAATCTGGCATCTGAGAAAGTTAAGCTGTGTTAAATTTATATGGCACCATTTCAGCGCTTTTGTGAATACACAGTATGAAAAGTCTTGATCAAGTATCATTTTCTGCACAGCTGAACCCAGCTACTTAACAGTCTAAAACAAGCTTGTAAGAAAAACAAACACACTCCAATCATATTCACAAGCTCTTCTGTACAATCAGAAAGGATTACTATTAAAATGACTGATTTCTCTCACAATCAGGTGACTGAAAAAGCTGCTGTTTTAAGAACAACATCAAATATTAAGAACTTAGCTGTAAAATCAGCAGAAGATATAAAAATGGACATTTTTGGGAGAAGCAGCATCTTAACTTTTCATTCCGTGGTAGATTACCAATGAGAATATTTTCAAACATGACATTCAAAAGAGAATTAATTGCACAGATTATAATGCATGGGACTTGTATTTCCCACCTTTTCCATATTTCATTTTGCAATTGTCCTTTTTACAGTGCTCTCACTGCTTTTGACACATTAACAATCCCATACAGAAAAAGGCCTATGCTTTTAAGGAAATTATTGTTCTTCAGATATTCAAACCTGAATTTGACAATTGCATTCCAATTCTGGCAGTAATGAAAACGTTTAAAGTATCATATGTGCCCAGGTTTGTCCTTTTGCCCTTGCACTGAACTGCTTCAAAATATAAATGTACTGCTCAGCTGCTGACTTGTACAATGGTCCCCATAGCAGCTCCTTCTTGATGTGGCCAAGGCTTTCGAACTTATCACAAAATTCACGTTCTTTTCCTTCTAAAACAAAGCTGAGCAGTGGTTTCTTTTGCTTTGTGTCACTGCACAGTGGTCAGTGGCCCCCAGGAAATGGCTGACCCTGGGCAGGGATCTCTCTGGCTGAGGAGCACACAGAGCACCCTTCCAGGAGAAAAACTTGGGCATCCACCTACAGCCTGCTGTGGGTGGATCTGTGGCTTCCATCCTACCTGTGGAAGGCAGTTGGCTCCTGCAAAGCATGTGCCTACCTTGGATGTAACTCTGTTCTCCATCCTGCCTTTAGACCCGACTGTCTAAAGCAGGATTTTGGATGTCATTCCCAAGGCCAGGCACTTAAAAGTTGAATACTGAATAGCCCTACAACATGATGCTGGAGTCCATCACTGCAATTGGTTCAAAATGGAAAAATTAAGCTCTATTCACAGTTTAAATCTCTGCAGTGAGAGATAATCACTGTTATAGTTTGGATTGAAAGCAGGTTGTCTTTTTGCTCCATTTTACACTTAAGGAAAGAAAGAAATCCCAAACTAACATTGCTACATTTAATGCCTCAGAGATTTCATAGGCAGAATATATTAGAGTGTCACTTTTTTTTTTTTAATTATTTTCCCAAAATCATAGAATTGTTTATGTTCAAAAAGATGTTTAAGATTATCACATCCAACCACTATTTTGAAGCATTGTACAAATCCTTTTATTAGCTTTCTAAATGTTTGCATTAAAGACCAAGAAGGATGCTTGAGTTTTAATGTAACACATTATCACCCTCAGGCCACTGCCTAATCTAGTAATCAGCCATGTGGATGCCTACAGAAATTAATTATAATGGTAGGAAGCTCCATTCTCAAAGTTGAATGGTCAATTATCCATCACAGCTGCTTTATAATTCAGGCTTCCAAAACTAGCAATTCTTACACAGCTATTCAAGCAAAGGAAAAGAGTAAAGGTCACGTAACTAAGCATTACAGATGCTGTATTTATTATTCCTAACATTAACACAAAGCCACTACAGAATACAACACATTAATTTTCAATATTAACCTCCTTTGCTTTCAGCTCCTTGGGGAGGTGATTTGGTTCTGTATGTTTCAGACTTTCTGATTAAAATGGGTCTTACTTAAATAGCGTGTAACAGAGACCCTTGTGTCTGTATGTAGACCAAGACAAGGTTGGTTGCTGTGTTGCATCCTGCCATCTCCTGCCACTGACAGGGGGTTAGGAATACTCTTCTCACAGAGGAACATCTCAAGAAGAAATGAACTACCATCATGAAATCTCCTCCAAATACTGACATATTGTTTCACCCAGCTTCTGAACTATTTGAAGATCCCCTCGCAAAAGTTCTGGAAATTACTTAAATTGCCTTTGAAGAGTCAGAGGACTCCTACATCCTAAACACGACTGCTACTGCCAAAGCAAGTCAGCAGAGACTGTGGCTTAACTGTGCTCCTCAGACCTGAGGCACATGCATTTTCTCCTGCCTCAGTTCTTCCCTACTTGCTCTACTAGCACTGCACTGAGAGATAGCAGAGGGAATCTCCTGGTAAACTGCTTAGTGTTTAACTGAGACAGAAGTACCAGATAACACAGGGGTTAGACAAAGAGCCCACACTAATCAGAAATTGCCCTCTCTTTCTTCAAGAGATCTCTAAGTGGGGGGAATTAGCACTGCTAATTGACATAACACGCAAACACTTTTAGTTACTGTTTTTATAGAGACTGAAAGAAGCTCAGACAGAAGGGAAAAAAAAAATTAAAAGAAAGAACTGGCATGCTCTAGCAACACTGACGGAAAGCAGCCTCTTCCTAAGAGCAGTAGTAGCATGGAATATCAAACGTACAGAGCAGAAAAGTGCCAATTCCCTAAACCAGGTACATCCTGGAAAGCAAAAGGTGCCAGAAATCCCACTTAATTAATGCTAAAAAAAGTGTGGCAAAACATGACAGGAATGAGATGTTGCAAAGAGAAGAATTGAAGTTTCTATGTCTGGCAAATACCACTGCAGTCCTCCCTGTGCTTCTGCATCTTACACCCCAGTGGTTCAAGGGCCCAAGTACAGCTGAACTCTGTTAATACAAGACAACAGATCCCTGTCCACACCACTGACACAAAAATAATTCAAGAGTCTGCAGTATGAGTCCACTTTGAAAATACAGGCAGGATCTCAGATGCAAATTTGGCCATTTTTTTGTCTTTTTTTTCAATATGCTGAAGCCTTGCTCAAGGTTTCCCTCTGCACTGTGAAATGAAACCAGTTAAGTGGACAGCTGCAGTTACTGCTTCAGTCCTCTGGTTGGGCTCCACCTGCAGAATAGATGAGATAAGACTCTATACTGCTCCTAGAAAGGGACTATCAGCAAAAGACAGAACTACAGGGGAACAGGAAGCTTTCCATTACATCTGCCATACAGTCCCCACGTACAGGAATGGAATGTCGATGAACCATGGCAAAAACCTACACACCAGAAATATCAAAGAATACAGCAAAATTTTAACATAAATATTTTATGTTTTACTCTGTTACTAGATGGACACTGATATTCCAGTGTCATCCTGCTGCAAACAGTTTAGTTTGAAAGGAACTGTAGCTTAATACAAGCAGCAAGAAATAGCCATATCACTTAATCTTAGGTGGGCCTTATTAGAGTAAGCAGTTTAAAATAACATTATATATGGTGAAAATGGAAATCTAAGCAGCAGCTTAGCAAAGAAATGCAGAAAACATTAGCAGTGCAGCATCAACTCATACACTGAATGTAGTCTGAGTAATACCTTATAAAATGCCTATGGGATGATTTGAGATGTACAGGAGGGATGCATCCCTTTGAAGGGACATCTGGAAAGCAGGCCAGCTACCACGCTAGGCACTATGGACTCTTGGGACATGTCTATGGGTCAAAACAGGCAGTCTGTCTTTCCAGACACACTTTCTGAATGCTCCTTGCTTTTGCAAGCATTCAGAAGTTTAGGAATAACTCTTAGATTGCAAATCCAAGCAAATGCTTGGATGCACGTGGTCGGGATGTGGTCAGGAGGAAGGGCTGTCTGACAGCCAGGAAGCAGGACAGTTCACATGACTCAAAGAAATGTCAAACATCCTTTAACATTACTGGAAACTTGATGATCTTCCCACATGAACTCCTTATAATATCAACCTCCCCTGGTTAAACTTTTTTTTAATATAAAAAGGCACAAAAAGGAAGATGGGTCACTTCAGATGTTTATGCTGAACTGGGAAATAAGCTGACACAAACTTAGAATTATGTGCCAGACAGTAGTAAATAAACAGCCTGCCAAGCAAAGAAGAGGTGATGAGACGGCAGTGCTTGGCACCACGCATGTACTTCTCTTTCCCATACTAGTCTAATTTTACACACTTCTTCCACCTCTAGATGCCAAGTTTGACAGCATGCTCCATCCCTGGCTTGGCTGGGGTGAAGGACACACAGTCAGGGTACTTCCTGGCATAGAAAAAGGCATTCCTGAAAACCAGGTCAAGCTCTAGTCATAGAAAAATAAAGAATAAGAGTTGTTTTAAACACAATGATTTGGACCAAATTCTGTTCCTCTCTAAGGTAGACAGGGAGTTTGGCAGGACTGTTCACCTTTTGGAACACTTGAACAATCCAGCCTACATTGTACACACCAGATTGCCAGGCTGCAACTCCAAGCACAGAACCTGCATTAACTCTCTGAGTACCAGGACAAGAGATGTCCCACTCCCCAAGCTCTAAGAGTGCATCCCCATCAACTATATTAAAGAATCAACATTGAAGAGCCCTTCAAAAGAGCCCTTCAGAAAGGAAGATTGTGTGTATCCCCCTTCTCACTCCTGGCCTCACCATGAAGAAGATCTAGAAAAACTTCTCTTCCAATTTTCTGTGCTTTTAGTAATTTAAATTACTAAATGAGATTATTTCAAAGGTTCCTTAGTGGGTAAAATGGGTGAGAGAGAGAGTTTTGAACAGAAAGTAATGAAAGAAAAAGTCTTACCACCGATTCTCTCATTTTTTCTGGGAGCGGATCTGCTGATGAATCTTCAAATCGTTGGCGTAGGTAGTGAGGGACGTATTTGCATTGAATAAGGGACCTGTTTAAAAAAAAATTCTAGTTAGGATACTTCTGATCATGCCTAACAGATACAAATATTCCTGGAGGGTAGAGGAGGAAGAACAGCCTCAGATTTCCTTCCTCATGTAGGCATTACCTATCTTATCTCTGTATAGCTGGAGACTGACAGAAACCAGCTCTACCTGTGATTAGGGTAGAAATTCCTCATCAAAATGTCCAGGAGTCTCAGCAGCCCAATCAATGTGTCTCAGTCATTTGGAGGAATAAGCAGAAAGGGTTCTGTTGCATTTACACTTTTTATTAATGTTTCAGCTAAGCTGAAACTGAAATGAGAGCCCTTTAGACCTACGTTCAAAATGCCAAGGAAACTATTTCCATACAAACTGTGTATTAATCCTCTCTTCAAGATTTACGTGCTATCTCCTCCTCCATCTTGAAGTTTATGCCACAGGCAATCCCTTAAGTACTGTTTCCAATCTCCTTAACTTCCTTTAAATAAGTTTTGTTTAAAAAAAAAATCTTAAATCTCCTCTTTTTAAGGATTGTACATTTTTATGATTGCACAATAAACATTCGATGCTGATGTACACATATTCTTAATTTTAAGATTTTCAGCTGTTGAAGATTTCATGAAGAATGTTATAAAATTAGCAGCTAGACTTACAAGTTAAAATGGATTTGATGGTTTAAGATTACTTCCTTAAAAAAAAGTTTCAAGGAAGACAAGTTCATCTTTTATTAAAGAAGTTAATGAATTGGTGTGTCCTTCCTGGATAATGGGAGAAAAGAATACATTTAAATTACTTCAAAATTGAAAGGGTACTCAATTCCATGCTGATTTGCAATTTACCTGTGAATATTTTACTCCAAGGCTAAGAAATCTCCCTAATACAGCACACAGCTTCACTTCCTTCCATACCCAAGTTCCACACTGCAACAGTCAATGAACTGTTGATCCAGTTCACACAAAGTTCATACGTGATCCAGGTCTACTTGACATCAGTGTCACATACAGTAGGTTTTGGGTAAAGTTAATGGCAATAGATGCAAGCAGTTCTTGTTGCTTTATCACATCAAATCTGGTAATGTACAAATATCAGATTCCCTGAATCTTTTGGACAGCAAAGAAAGAATTTAACGACTCTTCAGTAAGATTTACTGGGATTCCAGTTTCCTACTATTGCTCTATAACCTTCCCTTCCTCATCAGTGTTGTTCTCCTTTTCCCAAGTTTCTCTACTCAAATAAAATTTTGAATGCCCTAAAAAGCCCTCCACTTGCCCCTTTTCTCTCCTGCGTTACAGAAATGTGCATCCTACTGCACTGACTTACCATATGCCTACTATGAATTTCATGCACCAAAAGAGCCTCAGAATCACAGACAGTCACAGAATCACAGAATATTTTGAGTCGGAAGGGACCCACATGGATCATTGAGTCCAACTCACCTCAAGACACATACAACACACGACATGAATCAAAGGAGAGAATCTGTGAGTTTCCTCATGGGTCCTCTGCACTGTTCTAGGATAAAACCAAGCTGTCTGTGAAGCAGAGTTCCAGATGGCATGGTGATACTAGTTGCACAAAACCCACTTGATTGCTTAACCCCACAGCCACATATGTAGTTGCCCAGCTGCTTGTGGACTACCACAGCTCTCCTAACAGCCATATATCGCAGTTTCCTCATAGGAAAACTCGCATCTGCTGCCCCTGAGTTGTGGATCTATGGGCCTCCCTTTCTCTCACATCACCTCAACCCGCAGATCACAGTGTTGGGACTTCTCCCCTGGACCTCCCTCATTTGCAATGTCAGCTCTTAACACACACTTCCTTTCCTCAGTTACCCCTAGCAGACTGTCAGAGCAAAAAAAGGAAGGAGCGAATCTCACACAGAGAGCCGTAGTAATCCTCAGCAAGAGCTGGAATTCAGCCATCATCCCAGCACATCAAACGTCCCTTCTCTTGGCCACAGTGCTACTCAACACACATCCTGCAAATCCAGCAGCCTGAGCACCCCCTCAACTAAATCACTGTTGTCCAACCTGGCAGGCACACAACTTCCCAGAGGGGGAAATCTGCTTCAGAGAATTTGGATAGTTCTGTTTAAAGAGCACCAGCCTTCCTGGTGCTCTGACTGTAGCACTTCATTTATTTACAGAACTGATACCAACCATGCAGATGTGGCAAGGAATTTCACCTCACCACAGTACTTTCAGTAGGTAATTCCTGTGGTTATGAAACTCAGGCATTACTCTGTTTGTGTTCTGTACAGAGTAATCAATAAATAACTTACATCAGTACAGATGGGTCACTGCTTTGTCTGCTGAGGTGATAAGAAAGTGCAACTAGAAGACCACAGAAAGCAGAGAACAGTGCTGGAATGTGTTGTGCATCCCAGGGTTCCTGTGGAGAATGAGAGAAAATAACCTGTTTGTAAGTTAGGAATGCAGAACTTAAAAAAAAAATAAAATTAAGTAGGTTAAGCCACACATGCAACATTAAATGCACACCATCTAAATTTGTACAACATCTACCATGGATTGAAAATCCTTTTTCATATCAAAGTTTATTATTGTGAAAAAACCCTGCAATTAAAGGCATGTTTTGTGCTCATATTATGCAACTCCTCTATAATCAGCAATTAGCTAGGGAGCCATAGGAAAGGCAGGTTTTCTTTCCTCTTTAATGAAACACTAGAGGAAAATTCTCATTAAAATGAGATCCGAGTGAAATCAACTGCACTGTATTTATCTAAACGCTACCTTGATAATGCAGTTACTTGACCTGTAGCAGGACTGCATGCAACAAATGACAATATCACCTAGATCAGACAGCAGGGTAGAGTTCTGGCACCTTTGACATCCTTCTGTTGCTTTGTACGTTACATCCAGACTCTGTCTGGATACTGACACAGTGGAGAGGGAGAGCACCTGCCACTGTATCTGACATTCCCAAGTAGAAAAGAAGAGACAACTACACACTTGCCAGCACACTTTGGACATAACCGAGATGAGAAAATCTCTCTGAGTGACTTAAACATTAGCTAAAATTGGCTAGAAATAATAAAAGAAAGAATATGAAGCTTAAGGAACATTTATCAAGATTACCTTCATCTGTGAAGTCCTCAGCTACAAATTCAGGACTCTAAGACATACTTGTGAGTCCTAGCTGAAAGGAACACAATCCTTGTCTGTGAAAGACACAGAAACTTGGTGGATCAAATCCACAGCCATTTCACCTATTACATGTGTTCCATGCCTCCACACAATTTCTACCTGATGAATCGGATGTGAACTCACCAGATCCTGACATCAGAGCACTTTCTGGGTAGGTTTTGAGAAGCTATGCTTAAAAGATCAGTGAAATTTTAGGCTAGTACAAGAACAAGGTATCTTCTGCACCATGTTTCTTGCTTTAAAAACTCCACATTTAGTACAGAATCAATATTTTCACAGTATAAAGTAGGTTTATTAATCTTATTTCACTAAGTGATATGCATGATTTCTTAGCAAAGCTGACTCACATTAAGAAACACTCTATTTCTTTCAGGTAAATGAATACCTGAGTAAGACAAAATAATTTAAAATGACGAACATCCACCCCATTGCAACACAGGATTTTGGAATTTAACTACAAAATTCTCATTATCCTAAAAGTAGTATCACAAAAGCGAAATTTTAATTCCAAGAATCATCTTCCCCTCATCATAGTACTGAACATCACAAAGATTAAAGACAGAACCATCTAGTTCTATGAAACAATCCTACCCAAAACAGTCATTATAAACAGAACAGAGATTTACACAGTATTATTGAAAGAATCCAGCACTATCTATTTGACAATTTTGCCATCCAATCCCACCCTTCATGTCACTGTTCCCAGTTTGGGGGCCAAACACATTTTGGGTTAACTTTTCCCATGCTTAGTCTCCCATCAGAAATTCATATTCTTCAAAACACTGAAGAAAATAACCTGAAGCCAAAATATTCTGAAAATGGTTGAATCACAGCCTAGCCAAACATCCATTGCATTTCCAGGGCAATACAACTGTGTACAGATCTACCCAGCAGCTTCTAGTGTACAACTGCTCCTCTTTGCTGCAACTTCTTTTGAAAGTAAAATACTATGAAGAGCTGAGCAACATATCAATATACTGAAATATATCAGTAGCCAGTTCAAAACTCATTCTGCCCTCTTTCTACTGTAAAATTGTACATGGCTAAATCTCCATATTAATATCTCAGGAACTCTTTATTTCCATATTTTCTGCATATTACACACAGCTTCTGCATTTGGCTGTGCTCCAATTCCAAACTACCGCTGTCCCCTCAAAACTCAGACATCGGGGAGCCAGGAAGGCAGGTAGGACAGGCATAATATTTGCTATCTGCCTAGAGAGTATGATTTTCCAGAAAAAAAGCTACACAACGCTGTACAAAAGATGAGAATGAACAAAGATGACATTTCTCTGATATCAATGTGATGTACCCTGCTCCATTTTGTCATTTTTCTCCCTCTCCAATGACGCCTGGTAGCTTTAAATTAAAAAGATGAAAAAAACAATATAGCCGATAATTGGACAATGATTCTTCTCAGTGGGAAAACAGGAATGATGGGTTTTAGTTCTGGAAGCCGGTATTATCTGTCATACTAGACAGGGAGTTTCACTTCCTTGTTTACCTTACTGGGTTGAGGTGACAGGCAGTGCTTTCATATACAGTTTTGACTTTGATGCAGACACTCACGTAGTCATTTTAAAAAAAAGTGAAACAGAGTTACAGGGTTAAGGATGAAAGTGACGAATTACAACAGACCCAGTGATGGGAGTGTTCCATTCCAACCACAGAATCACCTAATCCCAAAACAATCCACTAAAAAGGAAGATAAAGGAGGTCTTTGAACTTACAAGCTTTTTACCACTGCTAGAGGTGGGACAGCAAATGTATTTTCAAAAAGTGGTGATAGTAGTTTTCTGTCCTGTGCTATTTATCCTTTTTACTTCTTCTTTCTTCCCTTAAAAAAAATTGCATGTAGCACACTTATCTTTCAATGACATTCTCAAATAAATAATATGTTCTACTCCAGAGACAAAAAGTGCTCTGAATGGAGTACCATTTGTGCTAAGTAGGAATTCTTGTTACGCTTTTTTATTTCAGAGTATTCCTCTCATCTTGACAAGTTGAGAGGACTTTTCAGACTGATGCAGTGTTAGCACCATTGAAGGTGAAGGTGTTGGCATAGTGGCTAGCATTTTAAACCTGGAGATAAACTCCAGTTTATCACACACCTCATTTTCCACTCCCTCATGATTTCATCGTTCTTCATAGACACACAGAACGGTTTGGGTTGTAACAGACCTTTAAAAGTCGCCTAGTCCAAACCCCATGCAATTCAATCTTTCTTTGGTCTTTCTCCTTACCTTCACACCCCACCATGGATCAGCCATTCCACACGTGTGATGGTAAAGAGAAAGAAATACTATAATCCTATTTCTGAACATCTTAAACACTGGTTTTCTGAAAGAGATGGTAAAAGGAAACCCTCCTCACCCCTAAGAATATGAGAACATAATAAGAACTTGTTCCCTACAAGATTAACTATAAGCTTAACACTATATTGCCATGGATACTCATTTTCAGTGAACACTAACAACCAAAAAATGTGAATTAATGAGCCTTGTTTTACACTAGTTAGAGACAAATTCTACGCGGAGATGCCCACCATCCATATCTTCTCATCATCCATGGAAAACAAAACATTACTTTCCCAGATGATCTCCAAAAACTTGATAAGTGATACAGATGTCAATGCCCATTCCAAGCAACATTGTCTCTGTTCCACTGCACTCCCAGTTGCTATCTTGGACTGTATTTTCACTGCTGAAATTGAAACCCCATCAGGATGAGACTGACACAAGGATGTTTATGTGTGCGCACACACACCACTTTAGACAACAACAGGATCCCAGATTGTGACCAGGATTCCTTGGCTAAAAAGTAAGATGAGCAACAGCTTCAGGCAGGAGAAATGGATACTCATGTTTCACCTAATGGTGAGTTTATCCTAAAGAAGTGGTGCAGATTTATACATTCCTATACAGGGACACACAGTAAGAGCCATCCTGGGCCATGTCAGATTCTATAGGTATAATATACTTTTTCTGTGATATCTGGAGAATAAGTCCTTATTATACACAGAAAACTGAGATCATAAGTATTGAAGTTATGTCTACAGTGCAAGACTGCAAGACTATAGCTGCAAATATCATTTACTGAAAAGTGGGGTATCTGGCAATACTCTCCAGAATTAACACCCCTAACAGCTCTTGCTTGAACCTCGGGGGTCTCTAAATTGTAAAGAACATAAAATTGACAAGCCCTGCTTTCAAAACCTCCAAAAGAATTAGAAGTATTTTATGTAGTAGAAACAAAGCTGCCTAGTAATACTGTACTTCTATTTTTGGTCACTTACACATCCAGGAATTCCGTCTATACGCATGAGCCTGTTCAGTGCTGTTTAGAAATTTATTTGGGTAGTCTTAGCAGATTGAGGGAGACATATGCTTGCAATTCTTTCCCACTATAAAACCTGAAGACAAATATTTCAAAATTATTAGCACAGAGATGCAGACTGCATCATTGAAAACAGGAATCAAGAAGCACTGTTATTCTGATTAACGAGTTTAAAACTCCTTAAACAAGCCAAACTACATCAGTATGAGCTGAGAACAGTTTAAAATCCACACAGGATTTTTAGTAACTGTTCATTGAAGCAATAAATAAGCTACCAGAAAATACTGTCTTCAGGCATGAGGTAATGGAAATTATCTAACTTACATTTTAAAGAATTTACAATTACGCAGAGCTGAAAAAAGCAACAATACATTCATATCGGTTTAATTTTTCTGACCCAAGTCGAAAAATCTGATTTTTTCCCAGGCTGATTAAGATAAACTGCAAGTTCCTTAAAAAAAAAAAAAAAAAAAAAAAAAAAGCTGTATGACAAGTAATTAACTGGTTTTGGATAAGTTTCAAATCCAAGCCAACTGATCTGAACAGAAGGCAGAAGACAAAGACTGATTGATTCCAGAAACATTCAGGGATGTGCTCTTCTGCCCCACAGCGAAACACTGGAACAATGGAATGCTAAAGACTGATACCAGGATGGCCAAATTCCAGACTGAATATTTGTGGGGAAAGTAGGAGGGTATACCTGATTTTTTTGTTAAAATATCTCGTAAATATTTCTGCGCAGACCACAAAACAGATGGAGCAGGAGACAAAAATCAGCACATCATGCAATTCTAGTCAAGTGAAAAAGATAGCACAGAAGCTCCCGTGTCTCCAATCTGATGGATGTAGTATCTGAAAATAAAAACACTTGCTCCTGGAAAAAGAGAAAAT